CCCCAAAAAAAAAAACCATGCTTCAAATCGCTTTAAACTATTGTCATTGTAGTGCGTATTTAATGTGGCGCTGCACTCTGATATTGTAGGAGAAAACATTTATTAAAAAGTCGATTTAATTAAGTAGAACGTGTTGTCTATCTTTATTTAAAGTTGCGCATTTTGATGTGACGTCACATTTCTCAACCCAGCCCCGCCTCGTCACAAATGTCTGACCCCCCCCCTCCCCCCCAAGTGCGTGACGTCATTTATGGACGGCCCCTAACCGCATGTGAGTATAGCGGTAAGCCTACAGAGATGTGTCCGACACCTACGCGTAGCAAGACAGGAGATTGCACGATGCATACTTTCTAAGAACCACATTACAGGGACAACTTCTTTCACCATCTTTAAATGTTTAAGATAAATCCAAGTTGTGCAACGAATATGGATATTAATCTTCAGTTTGGTGTTGATGAACCTTCAGTTCGGTGTTGATGAACCTTCAATTCGGTGTTGATGAACCTTCAGTTCGGTGTTGATGAACCTTCAGTTCGGTGTTGATGAACTTTCAGTTCGGTGTTGATGAACCTTCAGTTCGGTGTTGATGAACCTCCAGTTTGGTGTTGATGAACCTTCAGTTCGGTGTTGATGAACCTTCAGTTCGGTGTTGATGAACCTTCAGTTCGGTGTTGATGAACCTTCAGTTCGGTGTTGATGAACCTCCAGTTTGGTGTTGATGAACCTTCAGTTTGGTGTTGATGAACCTTCAGTTCGGTGTTGATGAACCTCCAGTTTGGTGTTGATGAACCTTCAGTTCAGTGTTGATGAACCTTCAGTGCGGTGTTGATGAACCTTCAGTTCTATGTCGATGAACCTTCAGTTCGATGTTGATGAACCTTCAGTTCGGTGTTGATGAACCTTCAGTTCGGTGTTGATGAACCTTCAGTTCGGTGTTGATGAACCTTCAGTTCGGCGTTGATGAACCTTAAGTTCGTTGTTGATGAACCTTCAGTTCAGTGTTGATGAACCTTCAGTTCGTTGTTGATGAACCTTCAGTTCAGTGTTGATAAACCTTCAGTTCGGTGTTGATGAACCTTCAGCTCAGTGTTGATGAACCTTCAGTTCAGTGTTGATAAACCTTCAGTTCAGTGTTGATGAACCTTCAGTTCGGTGTTGATGAACCTTCAGCTCAGTGTTGATGAACCTTCAGTTCGGTGTTGATGAACCTTCAGTTCAGTGTTGATGAACCTTCAGTTCGGTGTTGATGAACCTTCAGTTCGGTGTTGATAAACCTTCAGTTCGGCGTTGATGAACCTTCAGTTCGTTGTTGATGAACCTTCAGTTCAGTGTTGATAAACCTTCAGTTCGGTGTTGATGAACCTTCAGCTCAGTGTTGATGAACCTTCAGTTCGGTGTTGATGAACCTTCAGTTCAGTGTTGATGAACCTTCAGTTCGGTGTTGATGAACCTTCAGCTCAGTGTTGATGAACCTTCAGTTCGGTGTTGATGAACCTTCAGTTCGTTGTTGATGAACCTTCAGTTCAGTGTTGATAAACCTTCAGTTCGGTGTTGATGAACCTTCAGCTCAGTGTTGATGAACCTTCAGTTCGGTGTTGATGAACCTTCAGTTCAGTGTTGATGAACCTTCAGCTCAGAACCTCCAGTTTGGTGTTGATGAACCTTCAGTGCTGTGTTGATGAACCTTTAATTCGGTGTTGATGAACCTTCAGTTCGGTGTTGATGAACCTTCAGTTCGGTGTTGATGAACCTTCAGTTCGGTGTTGATGAACCTTACAAGAAGAAAATGCTTCCCTCCCAACTACAACTCTCACACTCGATACGCCCAGTCTCGTCCGCCTGCTAGCCAGCGGTCCCACGTCAGTGTCCAGAGTTTACTCATTGCAACAACAACAACAACGACAAAAACACGTGAAAGTCACTTCAAGGCCTATTTGTTTGTTTCTTTTTTATCACAAAGCCTCAAACTTGTCCCGGACAGCCCTGTCCAAATAGCCTCGGGCATACAATTACATGAAATACAAGGATCAATTGGATTTCGTGTCTGTTTGTTTAATAGTCTCTGAGTAACAGAATGTGATATTACCGCTGCGTGGTAGCCCTCTAATCCAGCACTGTTGAGGCAGCAGCGAGGGTTGTCGGGTCGCACAGATGTTGTTGTGAAACTGCCTTCGCGTAGGTGTCGAGGATGCAAGCCAAACTACCCTGACTCGCCAGGAGATAGGCGGTACAACAGAGACGTGGACTCCACCTCTTCTGCCTCTACGGGATAAAATGTTGTTTCCTCGCACGTGTGCGTTTTCTCCGGGTCCTCAGATTTCCTCATTGTTTGGCCGACGCCACCTTAATATATAGAGGACCGCAGAGCCTGGGCAATCGTTGGCACCTGCACACCGCGTGGCCGCTGCCTTCCTGCTCTGGGTCATTCTTTCTTTGCCACTATTACTGCAAATAATGACGACAGCTTCAGGGCGCTGACCACCCGGGTGCTGTTATCGACTCCTTAAAGTGCAAAGTCGGCAAACGAACCTCAATATAAATTTCGATTTAAAGCTTTCGTGACTGCAGGGATTCATCTTTTTGGTTCTTTCGGTAAAGTCACGTGACTTTACCGAAAGAACTCTACACGTGCGAGGGGGCAACGCTTTATCCCATACAGATGGAACAGGTGGGAGTTCACATCTTTGCTGTACTGCCTCCTCCTGACCACCCGGGGTATGACACCTCCTTAACGCTCACGGGAAGGGAGTTGAGCAACATTTGTGCGGTGATACGCCAACCCTCGCAGCCTGCACAGTGCTGGACGACAAGCCACATGCAGCGTAGCCACCACCACGGCCTGGATTTGTCGCTCGTCGCTTTTGACGAAATTTTTTTGCCACAGAAAATTTAAAAGTTCAACGTAGGTCTGGTCACAGAATCGTTAAATCTGCAACAACACTTGGTAGACGATGGAGAAAGGGGTACAAACTGCGGTGTTGGTACCACCCAGAATGGCAAATGCTAACAATTATTTTCTTGAACAATTGCCTTTCTAGATAACGAATATCTATGATAACAAGGTCAAGGTAGTAGTTTCTAATGGTACAAATGCCATTAAAGAAGTATATCAACGTATGCATTAATATAAATGATAGTTTTTGGGGAAAACACGAATTGCGCTATGAAACATCCACGGAATGCGAGAATTAAGAGTGTCCATGAAGCAGGATAAGGGTGTTGCTCACGGTGGATACTGCCCATGATGGACACTGCAGAATCAGAATCTTTATTTATACCGGAGAAATCCGATGTGCTATAAAGCTCTTGTTTACAGATGTCCAGTTCGGGCAGAACGTTTCAACAAACAATACAAAAACACGATAGGAGTTCAAAGTTTAGGAAAGTTGAATAAAATCACTTAAAATTACGCAAATAAAACTAAATTTGTTTTCTCTTATCAGTTAAGGCCTGTGTGTCTCCTTTCCTCGTGTTTTGTGTTTTGTATCTCTTTGGAATTTTCACACTTAAATTCTAACTTAGCAATCTTTGAAATACGTAATCGACCAGGCTATGTGTTAATTGTGTGTTAACCGACTCTCTGTGTTGCATTACATTACATTTCGATATTTTGCTGGGTTTTTTAATTTTAATTTGATGTGTCTCTCTCCCGTTCTCCTGATTTTCAGGCTTGCTTGCTTTGCCGCCCGTCGTCCTACCCATTGATATGCTAATTTTTTCTCTAACCCCTCCCTCTCTCCGCCCCCACCCCCTCTCTATATTTAAGGCCTCGTCACAGAGACTTTTTCTCTCTGTGTGCCTATGTGTTGCTCTCTCTCTAAGTATCTTGGTGATATCTGTCTGCTTATATGTCTGTCTATAGTTTTCTGGTTAGATTGTTGTTGCCATTTCATTTATACCTGATGATGATTGCTTGTGTTGCAATCGAAACGTCGTATGCTATTATTTAATTTATTGTTTTATCTTTATACGTGACTTTACTGAAAGAACCAAAGAGTAATTCCTGCAGTCACGAAAGCTCCAAAATTAAGGTAAAGGCCACTTTGCTATTAGCATCTTTTTTCAGAAGCGACCTGGCCACAAATGATAGCTCAACGAAGTGGCTTATCATGCACATTATCAAGTGCTTTGATGCTTAATGTGTGTACGACAAACACGGAACCACAGACATAGCAACAATACAAAATCTAGATTTGAAGTTTTCGTGACTGCAGGGATCCATACTCTTTGGTTCTTTCGGTAAAGTCACGTAGGTAGAAAAATCAAATCAATTAAATCACGACGTTTCGATTCCAACACAAGCAATCATCATCATCATCAGGTGGGAAAACCACAGCAAGAAAATGTTTGCTGATGTGGGAGAGAGAGTGGCCATGGTAAGAGGTTATATAGGTGAGGAGAAGGTGGGGGCATGGGGTAGAGGGAGGGGAAGCGTTGCGTGGAGTAGTAGTACCCGGCGGATAGGATAGACGACAACCACTACAAAGCGGTTAGGGTTTTACCTGCTTAGGAGTAAGGGAGGAAAGGGAGTACAAAGTATAGGTAAGGTAAACCAATCGCTTAAATAACATAGAAAAATAAATCTAAACAGTTCAACACGTATGCTTTCGCGACCAATATTATCCATAATAGAGGCTTTTGGGGTCGATCGCGTGAAGCAAATGCGTCGTTACACACGCAACAAAATTTTAAACAATCGTGTTTTTTTTTTAAATATCTTACCACGGTAACAATTTCTCCCACATGGTGGCAACCAGCCCAAAAGTCAGCCCCGTCACTCGTCACACGGACGGGGGCTGACTTTGGGGCCAAGCGAGAGACCGAACGCGGTGACGCGGCTTCGCGTGGCGTACCGGGAAACCATTTTACCACGGTAACAATTTCTCCCACATGGTGGTAACCAGCCCAAAAGTCAGCCCCGTCACTCGTCACACGGACGGGGGCTGACTTTGGGGCCAAGCGAGAGACCGAACGCGGTGACGCGGCTTCTCGTGGTGTACCGGGGAAGCCGTCGTGGTAGGGCAGCCCGAGGGAGGCGGCCGGGTGTTGGGTGGGCAGCACGTAGTGGGGGTCCGGGAGACCTCTTGCCCGTGGCCCCACTCCGGGCAGCAGTCGCACGGGGCAGCCCGTGGGGCCCGGCCCGGGGAACATGCTCGGGCACATGCGTTTGCCCGGGGCGCTGCATCCATCTGCGCAAACCCCCCCAAAAAATTAAGACAAATATGATATTGATTTTTTTTACCTTTAGGCGTCATCTGGTCCAACACCCATGTGAGTCTAGGCTCTATGGAAAGCTGTCTCTCGGGTGTGGACCAATCAACTGCAAGGACAGTGCATACATGATCAGAGTTGTGTTTTTTGAGTGCATTATGACTGCAGGTATTGTGGTCTATGCAAACATGACTCCTCGTAAAAAAGGTGTCAGTTTTGTTGCCAGATAAAAGGGTAAAAAATAATTACAATTTTTACTGGCAAATGAGGTTCCAATGGTGTAAATGCTTACCCCGAGCTCTCATACTCTGATGGTGCATTGTCTTTGAGTTGTGCGCCTTTTGGCGTCATCTGGTCCAACCCATGTGAGACTAGGCTCTAAAGAAAGCTGTCTCGGGTGTGGACCAATCAACTTCAAGGACAGTGCATACATTATCAGAGTTATGTTTTTTGTTTGCATTATGACTGCAGGTATTGTGGTCTATGCAAACATGACTCCTCGTAAAAAAGGTGTCAGTTTTGTTGCCAGATAAAAGGGTAAAAAAACTATTATCATAATTTTTACTGGCAAATGAGGTTCCAATTGAAGAAAGACAAAGACAAAGGTCCCCTGTATAGGCTTTAACACGCTGGCTCAGAGATGGGGCAACTACCTCGCCCGGATACAGAAGGCCGTGGGTTCGATCCCGACGCCTGCTGTATATTTGGAGTTTGTGCGTCTCTCTCTCACACCGTGGTCGCGTGGATTTGTCTCCGGCGCTTCCGGTCGAAACCCCCCACATTTAGAATCATTTGAGGCTGAGTTGACCTAGGGGATAATGCACTATGTCCTGATAGTGCATTGTCTTTGTGCCGTTCGCCTTTTGGCGCCCTCTGGTCTAACACTGGTTGAGACGAGGCTCTAAAGAAAGCTGTCTCTGGTGTGGAACCAATCAGTTTCAAAGACAATGCATATACCATTAGAGCAAGTTTTTTTTGCATGTTCACCACAAATATATGTGGTTAATGCAAACATGATTCCTTGCAAAAGGTTTCAGTTTGGTGTTTTAACATCTTAACACCTGTTTTATTGCCAGAAAGGGTTATACCTATTCTTATATTACCAATTCCGGTTCAGTGATTCTGCACTTGCTCTATTACAATAGTACTATACCGCCTTCAACTTTTAAGGTTAGCGATTTGTCGTATTATCTGGCTGTATAGCAAATGTAAAAATACAATTACTTTACTGTGCAAGTAAACATTTAACGTGTTTTTTTTATTAATGGCCCCTTTATAACATATGCAACAGGCCCCACACTCGCTTAATCGGGCACTGGATCGAGGGGAGATGGAGTGACGTGGCCACGCGTCACTACATGTAGTGACGTCACCACGCGTGGGGATTGGAGCGCAACGCTGAAACCACGTGTCCCCACCGCTCCACGAACGCGCGTTGTCTGGACCGCCTGATAGAGCATTCGCTGTTCGCGAGCACCTATTAAGGCTGGATAACGTTGTCACACAAACTGGTGGTGGAGGCACACCTTACCCCAGACACCCGGCCGGCTTTGTATTCCTGACACAGTACCTCATTACTTTTTTTGATCGCGTGACTAAACCAGCTCCTCATTTTAGGCGAAGCAAACTTAGAAGAGAGTCAAACCAGAGCCAGGTTTGTATTACAACCAGATGGATCGGAACTGAACTTTATTCGTCACCGATGTCGGAATCGATCTCGGGAGACCGGGTTCGCATGGCTTACCACTGCGCCACCTTCCCTCACCAAAGATTCCCCGTATAGCCTTAACAGACTGTAGGGGTAAGTGCTGTTAGCCGGCGCCTATAAAGGCCGGCACGGCACACGAGGGGGTGCGTGGCCAACACAACGCCCGGCCTCCTTTGTTTCCCGAGTGGAGATGTTCACACATACTCTTAGGTGTTTCGGTAAAGTCACGTAGGTAAAAAATAAATAATACAAATATAATTGAAATAATAATAGAAATAAAAGGATGTGATTTATTATTTTTTATTTATTTTTTACCTACGTGACCTTACCGAAAAACCTAAGAGTATGAATCCTTGCAGTCACGAAAGCTTCAAATCTAAAATGTTCACACATCGCACCAGATAATTATTTGAGGCTGAGTCGACATGGGGGAGGGGCCAAGACCGGTTCAGATAATCGTCACCGGTGTTGGCCGTGAGCGGGAATCGAACCCCGGGTCCCCAGGTTCGTAGCGCAGCGCAATAACCGCTACGCCACCTTTCCCTCGCCAAAGAACGTTTGTGCACACACACACCCGCACACGCACTGGACGACTAATTAATTACCAGATTAGGAAAAATGTGACAAATAGTTTACATATTCTTGGTTCTTTCGGTAAAGTCACGTAGAAGGGAAATAATAAAATAATAAAATTATAAAACAATAAAATGTTATTGATTTATATATATTAAATAAAAATTAAAAACAATACAATTTTATTGTTTTATGTATATTTTATTATTTCCCTTCCACGTGACTTTACCGAAAGAACCAAGAATATGAATCGCTGCAGTCACGAAAACTTTAAATCAAAATAGTTTACAGTTAAACAACTAGAAACTATTCTTTTGTATTCATCTATGAACAATTTGTCATGAAACTATAAACTATGTTTTTATTCACCTTTTAAGGCCCACTGAGCAATATAGATTTTTTTTCAGAAGCGACCCGGTCACAAATGATAGCTCAACGAAGCGGCTTATCATAGGGAAATTTATAGCCGTCAAATATTTGAAACGCACGTTGATTCTTAATGTGGAGGGGAAAAAACTGAAGAAAAATCCACGCGACCACGGGAAGAGAGACACGCAAACTCACAATACACAGGCGTCAGGGTCGGGATCGAAGCCACGACTTCCTGCATACCAGGCGAGGGAGTTAACATCTCGCCACCGCGGCAACCCAACATACGCATACAGGCATCGCTTTTAAATGACAGATGTCCATTTAAAGATAACATTACATAGATCACTTTTCCATTTAACACTACATAGCGCATTAATGCGTCGGAGGTATTTTTTTTGTGTTATCAATTCATCAATTAAATTCCCCTTTTCGTCCTTATTCCAACACGTGCAGCTCGTTGAGATTGATTTGCCGATTAGAGTCGAGGTTGAGTGCTGCAGTGGTTGCGATGGTGAGCAACGCGCTTGCCTTGTAAGATCAACGTCGCCGGTTCGATAGCATTGAACAGACTGTTGGAGCAAGTGCTGTGAGCGAGCACCTATGAAGGCCGGCACGGCACACGACGGGGTGGGTGGCCAATACCACGCCCGGCCGCCTTTGTCTCCCCAGTGCTAATGTGGCTGCACGTGCACACACACACACACACCGCACGTGATGCGTTTAAAGTGACGTGAAATGTTTGGAGGAAGGAGTAGTGGCGCAATGATTTGCACCAAGGTCGTAAATATAATATATAATGGGGGACACACACACCCCCCTCCAATATTCAAATATGCTCAAAATGTCCCCCCCCCCCCCCATATATTGCTATAAAATAGATTTCTGTTTATATTATTGTGGTTATGGTTGTACTTTATGAATCCCTAATCTCTGCCCTTGCATACAATGACTCAAGAAAAGGTAAAAAATAAGTAAAAACAGAGCAATGTAATACAATACACTATTAGACATTATTGTAATAAATACATAAAAAGGCCATCCCATGTGTTAGTGAATTTTTAAAATATTTTAGGCAGGAAATGGCAGGAAATTGGTTTTAAAATTTAGATATTTTTCTGCGGGGGGACCCCCAGACCCTCTCAAAGATTTGGTCCATCCAATGTTGACTCCATGGCTACGGCTGTGCAGTGTCTGAGCCGGCCCTTGGCATCCCCTCTTCGTCGCTAACCCGCACTGACCAATCGTGGTGAAGTATGGTCAACCACACCCCCACGAAAATCATGCAGAGGGTTGACAAAGAGCTTCAACGTTTAAATTAATACCGTATTACTAGAGATGTATTTATAAGGGGCCGTACATAAATGACGTCACGCGATTTTGAACGATTGTTTACCCCCCCTTCCTCGTCACACGGCGTCACAAAAAGTCAGCCCCCCCTCAAATATGACGTCACAAAGCTCTGCCACCCCCCCAATCATATTTCCATTTTAAAAATAAAACACGCTTCAAATCGCTTTAAACTATTGTCATTGTAGTGCGTATTTAATGTGCCGCCGCACTCTGATGTTGTAGGAGAAAACATTTTTTAAAAAGTCTATTTAACTAAGTAGAACGTGTTGTTTATATTTATTTAAAGTTGCGAATTTTGATGTGACGTCACATTTGTCTAACCCCCCCCCCCCTCGTCACACATCGTCACAAATGTCTGACCACCCCCCCTCCCTATGTGTGTGACGTCATTTATGGACGGCCCCTAAAGACTCTTGTATACGTTCAAAAGTTGTGTCCTTACCTCCTCTGCACAAGGTCGGTGTGGCGCAAATCCATCAAATCATCACATCCATATTCTGCTTTGATGGCTGATGTGGATGTGTACACAGCTTGTTGACATTACTTCGCACCATACGTAACCAACCGTGCTAATTGGAGGTGCGGCGGAAGGAAAACAAACTAAACATGAAAACAAAAACTTTTCTAAAGAAATTCGTTTTCAATCTAGAATAAAAGTGCATAGCATCAGTGGCTTTCTAATATCGGAAGGAAGAGCATTCCAGACGGCCGCAGACGCGCATCTGAAAGCGGGCGATGTGGTGACCGTCTTTGTTCGATTGCTCGCCAAAAGCCGCTGCGAGGATGACCGGAGTTCACGTGATGGGTTATGCTCCCGAGACGATATGAGCAAGGTGGTATCGTGGTTCATTTCTGGCAAGCACTTCGCGTGTGATGAGTGCGACCTTTTAAAGAGCAACAGCTGAAATTTCACATTGAGGCGGCTCAGCCAGATGATTGCGTCAGGAGTGGCCAAGTGGAGCATCGCTCTGACGA